ATATGCTAACAAGATAAAAGAACGTGTCCGATCCGTCGTTTGCTTTTACCGCAAGCGCGAAAATCGAATGTATCAATAACTCTCGATATTTCCTTTTTACTATGGCGTATCTCATACGTGACAGAAAAGACGCGTGGGATTTCTATATATTTGCTACGGTAGTATTAGCAACCGCTTTTTAATTCGCATCTCATGCTTGAGAAAAGATTCTTTTTTCCCAAACAAAAATAGTAAAATTTCCTTCAACAAAAATTTTAATTTAATTATAATTTTCATAAACCTCCGCCGAAAAAGGGAATTTGAAGTCGAGGGTTAGTACATATAAATACGTTTCTCTCGACGTCGCACATACACGAGCAAACACTTGCGTACCTATCTCCGTGTACCCGCGGGCGTCGTCTTATCGCCGCATTTCTCGCAATACTCATACGAGAACGTCGCGAATGCCTTTCGCGAATATGCGCGCTCATAGTACACCATGCGGAAAGATGCTCCCGTCGTCGTCGTCTCGACGTCGTCGTCTCAACATCGTCGCCTACGTCGACATCGTCACATTGATGGGGCGATGCGCCCGCGCCGGGATGCACACCGTGCGGGTGCACACACGTCGTCGACGTCGTAATTAATCAACCTGCCTCGCTCCGCCGTAATTCGCGAGGTTTTTGCGCGCGCAGAGAGCAGCGAAGTCTACAAAGTGGCAAGAGAAGTGAGAAGGGAGGGGTGGGGGGAGAGGGGGGAAGAGAGAGGAGAGAGAGAGAGAGAGAGAAAGAGAGAGAGAAGAATTCTCTCTTGACTGAATTATCCGCGCGTTTCAGTTTATCAGTCACCGTGTGTACATAATTGCATTCGTCGGCGGACGGGGCTTCATGTTTTTCTCCGGACGCGCCCGCAGGATTTTCTCGCGTTTCCGCGCAATTTTATGTTACGCTTTATCGCCACTCTGAAAAATTTCCCGCGACGCGCAAAAACGCGCGCGAAACGCCCAGACGAGACGCGAGGTATGTTGCGTGCATACCGCTAATTCGTTAATAAATGGGCAACAGCTAAGAGTGTCACGCCGTTTACTCTCATGTGGCTCTCATAACTTAGCGTGCTACTAATCCGCCCCGAGCCATTCATTTAATGATTAACTCGATGACTGGCGTAACAGGTATGCAGTATCATTATCATTTTCACGTATCAATAATTAATTGACTGCAAATGGTACTGGTGCATTTAGTTTGACGATTGATTATCAAGCGTGGGAAATTATCATATTTGAACGTACATCAAGGTTTGCCTATTTGACTTTATCTGCTTTGAAACGCAAACTATGCAAAACAAACTATGCAAAACAAACTATTGCGAAAAATTAATGCGATTTGTAGAGAAAAAAAAAACGTAATTTTAACTTCGAGTATTTCGAGTTTCACACTTTCGTTCCTACATTCAAATTTTTTTTTTTTACATTCAAATGTGTCAAGCTACTAAATTAAACGAGTTGCAGCAAGGAATATTATGCGATCCCTCCTGACTCCCTCTTTCACGCATTTTGTATGTTGTTCACGAAACGTTTCTTAGCAATATCCCTGCGCCGCGTGTGCGACCGCGTCCCCGTATCCCAGCGGAAGCATTTTCACCTGGATGTACGCTCGTAATCCGCCAAGTGGAAAAAGGCCACCGTAAAATTCACAGGAGAAATTCTCGCGACCGGCAGAAAATTCAAGTAAGTTTGCTCAAATTGCTCGTATCAACCTCGCCGCGCGTAATATCTATTATCGTTTTGCTTTACATTTATACTGCGGTATAATTGAGTAAGCGTTTTACCAGATTTTATCCACTAATTTATCCAGTAAGTATCTAATATTATATCTATATTATTCGTCGTAATCGTAGACAGTTAGATATTAATTTTCGCCAATTCGTCGTTTTAGAACGACGATAAATATTAATTACGCTCTATTTTTTACATAAATGACGTTTGAATATAATGTTTAAGAGCCGTTTCTATTTTGTACAAAGATAAGAACTCGAGACGTTTCTTCTAACTCATTATCGCGGTTACCGAACAAGCTGTCAATAATTTCGGACAAATTGTTATTTGCGTCGGCAAAGCTCGAGCCTTCAATCATGCTGACGCTGCGACGCGCACGCATCATTAAAGGCGTCAGTTCGCGTATCCGCACGCACATCCGAACACGCAGCGCGTATTGTGTGTAGATTCCACCGTCACCCGGTAATTTTCTATAGCTAAGAGACGTAACACGCAAATACTTGAAATCATGACGTTGACTATCGTCGCCTTAATGATGAGTTTACACGAAATCGTCGATAAAATGAGTCAAGTAGCAAATTACCTAGTTTTTCCTTCATAAAGAAGCCTTTGTTAATGTCATTGTTAATTGTTAATTACTGATTATCTACTTTATGCAAAACTAGCTCTTATTCTTCATTATATAAACGTTATATAATCGATAATACATACATCTATACGTAAATCGTATATAAAGACACGATATACATATGTACGCTTGAGCATTTGGCTCGCAGGTGCTCCTTAAAATCCTTTTAAAACGACCGGAAGTTAAACGCGCGATTGTCACCGAACCGATCGAACCGGCGACGATGGTCTCGGACGATGGTCGATTTCGCGCGATAGCCAATACGAGGAGGACTAGATTTCCGGAGACGACGGATATAACGTGCAAGCACCATGCTTTCTATCGCTTGAAATCACGCTCGCGCAGCCTGCTGACGATGATTGGTTCGAGTTCGACAATACCCGACAGTTCGTGCGGATTCGAGCCGGAATCAAATCGTGCGACTGAGATTTGGTCGCTGTTGTTCGTTTCTCATAACCCGCTGCAGATATACGGCAAATGAGATACCTATGCGAATCCGACAAATGTACTTTAGAAAAGCGCGTTGCAAGAAGAAGCGGAGTAATTCGAACAATCGTGAATTATATTTTATTTTATATCGCATGCCTTTTAGATATCTTTAACTTAATATTTTGTTTACTTATCGTTTTTTTATTTCTTAATTCTACTCAACTGTTATATTTGCTATCAATAAAGGTTTCTCCATATCCCACTGTTTACAATTGCAATGCAACTCTGCTTTAGCTATTCACAAACGCATACAGCGAGCATTCACAACCGCCATTAATCACGATGCTCGATGCATACAGTTATGCATTTTTATCTCAAATATTTGCGATGCCGCGCATAACGTCATGATTAATTAATTACACAGAGTTCAAACAATAGCGGGGATGTATCTTGCGCGTGGAGCGAAGTGTTTGGCTAGTGCTCTGATATTTCTGCATTTTTGTTGCATGTCCCGGCCAAAAGGCGCCTCTCTTTTGTGAGTATTCGAAATTAGCTTTTTCGCGCAATGCGCTGCCGCGCAAGCCACAGTGCGGCGCACGCAAAAGCCGGATTATATTAATTAATATAAACGCGGTCAGACAGAAATGCCGTCCCACTGTCTAAACAAAATCCTTTCAGGCGGAAAAATATCATAGCAAAATATACATGATGCCACAAAAGTCAACACATTACCTCCTTCGCAATAGGTACTTGTTTTGTGAAACGCAAGAATTTCTTATCGCGATGCTAAATTTTAATTAATTAATTTTTAATATTAGACAGTTTCATCAGATTGTGACGTTTCATTAAAATTTTGCAATATTAACTTTAATTAAAAAAATATAATTGCAATTAAAAAACACACAATCGGACGCGCAGTGGATGCGTACAAATACGCGCCGCAATGTTTTTTTCTATTTGACGGAGAGATTTTAAAAGGATGGCAAACAGAGAACGAGGCGTCTCGAATAACACGGATACGAGCGTGGTTCGGAAACCACTGAAAGAGACAATCATTATTCGACCAGTATTTCAATTTACACTGAACAAAAATGTTACCAACCCTTGCCCTCGACGGCGTAATTTTTCTGCCGCGCAAAAACCATCGGCTTTTTTTTTTTTACGACGCTATGTTACAACGACAAAAATATCAGCATTTTTTTCGGCGCAGTTTACGACGAAACGAGAGAGTTCCGTTAGCATGCGTTAACAACCTCAACTTGGCCTAGCTTTTTACCATCTCTTTTTTACCTATTCTTCTTTCACCACCCTGCCCCTCCTACGCCTCCCTTTACGAAAATGTCCGTCTTTCTCGGCATCTTCCTCTTCCGCCCCTTTGTCGTGCTAAACCGCCCGTGCTATCCGTCTCCCTCCGTCATCTCCCGATTTCAGCACATAGATTACGACCATCGGCACGCGCGTATGGCGTGCGCCCATAAAAACCGACCATGTATAAAACCGTCATGTATACCCGCGTGCTCGACGAGCGAGCATTTTCGTCGGGTTCCCTACCTCCTCTTCACGTCGTTCTTTTTCTGCAAAGTCCATCCGTGTCGCCCGTCAACGCCGCACCGCGCCGCGCCGCGCCGCGCGCGGAGAAAAGCGCTCCGGAGAACAAGAAACATAAAGAATGATGGGCTAGCCGTTACTTACGTTTTCGGACAAAATTTACACGCGAAATTCGAGTTAGCTTTAAAAAGTATGTTCCTCGAGAAGCGAGCAATTTTCTTGAAGCTTCGGAGTGTAAAATAAAAGTTCTAATCCGCCACAAATGATATGTCTTTTTGTAAGAAATTTTAAGTTTGTAGAGTCTCTAAAGTGCTCATCTCCAATCAAGTTTCGCAGCAATAATATTTCAAATTAAAATTTTGTTCCAAAGTTTTCTATTTTTCAAATATTCTCTGTCGGTCATCTAAGAAATAATTATTGACTATATGAAAAATCGTCAAAATATTAATAATCATTAATACGACTAACAGACGTAATTTCTAAAGACGCTTTTAATTATTCTTTTAATTAGAAGTGTAAATTATGAAAAAAACTTTATTTTATCGCGAATTTTTGCTCTCTTTTTTACGTAAAGTAGCAAACCACTCTTTCGCGAATGGAGAAAGTTTAAGAAGTGTTGTGCTAACGTTGTTGTGAGCTTACCGTTGACGACAACGATGATGCCGAGGACGCACAGTAGCAACGATCTCGCGCACATCTTAGCTCTTTCTCCGGCAGGTTTCCCTCGGCGAAAGAAAAGCGTAGAGGAACTGGCACCCGTAATCCTTACGTGCTTTTCTCGAGCATCGTCCGATTAATGCGTGGATCGATCGCTCGTCGGATCGGTCAGTCTGATCAATCAGTCAATAACAAACGCGGAGACGTTCCTCACGATTGCTACGCCCGTCATCATTGCTGAATGACTCCGAAGATACTTGGAATCGGCATCAAAATGTGGTCGATTCGCTCTTCTTCTTTCAAGAACGTCGACGTCTCAGTTGGCTGAAGTGAAAGGTTCGCGCAGGATCGTCGGACGGAAATGCGAAGAACAATCTGAGCGAAACAGTTGATAGCTAATTAGAGCCGATCGCATTAATCGGCTCTCAACCACTGCGGCCCGAAAGTGCCCTGATCGAAATCCTATCTTGCCTGTCTAACTTGCCTTCCGTAATAACCCCGAGGCTCGAGCTTCCGAGCTTTCTCCGCCTTCTCGTCCTTCGCTCTCGATGCTCTCTCTAACGTCTTTCCACTTTTCTCCGCTTCCTCCTCTTCCGCTTCCTCCACCTCCTACTTCTGCTGCAGCTGCTACTACTGCTGCCGCTCCCGCTGCTTCGGTCTCTTTTCTCTAGCCTTGGGACATAATACCCACCCCGCCGCGAATCCTCGATCTACTTGTTTGTTCTCGATAATGTCAGCTTGCCGAAAGCTACCTTGCTATCCCTCACGGACGAGCTTCCACGATCCGGGATCCCCTTAGCGTAACTTAACGAAGTAACTTAAAGTGCCCCTTAGCGCAACTAGATATTCCCGCTATTCATCGAACAGTCGAACTTTTATCTTTGATCAAAAGCACCCGATTGACACGAAGAAAATGCGAGGCTATAGCTTAATTGTCTCCTTCTTTTTTTTTGTCTTTCTCTGAAATAAAAAGTTACGGCTTTCGTCTGAACTTTAATGGGGTAATCTCTTTACGTCCCCCGTGTAGTAACTTTCCGGAGTATCGCGCCGAGTATCTCGCCCCGGCGCGAGTTAATCGCGCAAGTTTCGCGGAAAAGAAACGTCAGCGAAAATATCACGATTCGCCGGCTCGCGGACTTTCTTTCGAAATTTTACCCCGCACAAAGTTTCGGAACTTGCAAAGTACAACGCGACCGTATTGGTCGTCAGATAAGTTAGAGAACGCGAGGATCAGAGTTTGCGTGTAAACGCGTGACAGCCGCGAGACGCTTCCGGCCACGACGAGCTCGCGGCGCTTACTGAGCTTGCGGAAAAGCTCCTCGAGAAGCGTCCGCGTCCGTGAGATGAGAGCACGTTTCTCATCCCCTCCTGACGAACGCGCGATTACGTTGCGCGCCGCGCGCGTTGATTGGCCGGGCATGCGCCCGAAAGCTCGCCGAGTAACGTGCGTGCTCTCCTGGTTCGGAGAGTAAGAGAGATAGGGGGTGAACGAGGGAAGGGCGAAAGGGGGCAACGAAAGCGCCGCGATGCTTTTGGAGTACCGACTGCCGAGTAGTGTTGAAGCGCTGTTGAAACCGCCGGTAGTGGGGCGACAACGCGGGGAGAGAAGCGCGCGTGGTGCAGAAAGGACACTGGGTACATCGCGCGCTTCGCGCCACCACCCGCGCTCGCACACGCGTCGAGCTTGCGGCAAAAGTTATGACCTCAAAGGGGTCGTTAACGAGCACCCGCCAAATTAGTATAACGGCGCGCCCTCCGGTCTATCCTCTCCTCCATTCTCCCTCTCCCCCGCCCTTCGCTCCTTTCAACCGCTCTGGAGTATTACCGTGTCCTTTTTCTACCACATCTACGCGCAACTATTTTTCGACCGGATTCGCTACGCAAGTATTATCCATCATTTGTCTATTTGCTGGTTCAAGGCAAATCATACGCGCATTGTCTATCGATTCATTACGGCTCGTCCACTTTATGATTGATTACTGTGATTGTGTTTGCAAATTGGTATCGCGAAGTACACCGCGTTGACCTATTTTATCGAAAGTTTCGGAATTGAGAAAAAAACTCGCAAAAGAGACCTTTTCAAAGTAGTTTCGTACAAGGTTTTTCTCTTTCACATAATTTTTTTAATCGAGGAATATGTCCTGAAATATTTGAACTTTTCTATTATTCTGTCGTGACGCTAGTTAAATAATTTATTTGTAATTTATCACATTCTTCTAGAAAAAAAACGAAACAAATCCATTTGAAAACTAAATTATTCAAATAAATTGTCCAACAAATTATTTAACTAATTAAAAATTATCCAACAAATTATCTGTTTATAACATTATTAACTTTGTAATATGTAGAGATAAATAAAATTTACAACAAATAAATAAAACAAATAAATAAATAAAATTTACAACAAATTATCACATCCAAAATTCAATGTGTATAATTTGAGTATTTTACACGACACTCTGTTTCGGACATGATATTTTAGCCGCAATCTTCACACGAGGAATACCGTTACTTTCAAAATTACTTTCCATTACACGAAACTTAGTAACTTTCGGAAAGAGTAAAAGTAAAAGCTTCAACTACGAGCGGCCGACACAGAACAGCAACCAACCACCGCTAGATTTTGTGAGGGACAACTTCGGAAATACCGGCGACATCGTCGGCGCTAGTAGTGCAGTCAATATATAATGCGCGACGTGCTCCTGCATTTCAAATTACCGCACTACTGGCGACGGACGTGCGGGCGTCGCTTCTCGATGCTACCGATCGTCCCGCTAGCAGCAATGGTGCGACACTATGAATTCGAGTACAATCTCTCTCCGCGTTTCTCCACGTCGTAAATTGCGTTCGGATGGTTATCAACCCGATTTTAGGGACA